TCTCCAGAAGTTGAATTTCGATTTCCCATGGAAGACCTCAGGAAACCAGAAGGCAAACTGTAGAACAACAAGGAACACCGAGCCCCTCCCCAACGAAAAGGGTTCCTTCTGCAGGGCCCCGGCTGTAGCATGTCTCGGCGGTGGACAAACCTCCCTTTAGCAAACCTGCCCTTAGCGACGACGGCCTGGGACTGAAACCGACGGACCTGGAGCCGCAAAAATGACGGCCGCGACGCCCTCTCGCGAACCGGAAACGGCCAATTCCTTCATCGGCGTGTCAGGGTAGGAGGTCTGTCCAACCCCGAATGTCTCGAGTAGGAGGTCGACTACAGAATTGAGTTACCCCCCACTTGGAGTTCTCACCGAGCAGACGAACATTATGCGTAGCGTTTGCGGGGTAAAGAAAAAAACATGTAGTCGATCTTCTGCTCGAATCCTCGGAGAACGATCCACGTCCCAAAACCATGCGGTCACCCCGAATCTCCACTGATTCACCACACGGCGTGGCCACCGCACACCGCACCGGTCCCCGGAAATTGTCGGGCCAGGGCAGCCAAAACTTGGGTTAGGTCGGGCGTGTCCCCCTACAGGCGGATTGAAAAATAACAAATCATCAACAGATAATCAAGAATGGTCAAAACTAATGGAAACTCGTCCCCAGACTCAATCAGAGCTTGCCTCTGTAGGGGTCCTAGCGGATTCACATGGTATGGTTAGGTTAGGTTTGCCGCCGATTTTCGCCGCACGCCCAGGTGCCCGGGTGCCCAGGGGTGCCCGGGTGCCCGGGTGCCCGGGTGCCCGGGCGTGCCCGGGGGTGCCCGGGGGTGCCCGGGGGTGCCCTATAGCCCTATAGCCCTATAGCCCACTAGCCCATATAGCCCTGTAGCCCTATATCCCTATAGCCCAATAGCCCTGTAGCCCTACAGCCCTATAGCCCTACAGCCCTAAAAAAAATGATTGGGGCTTTTCTCCGGTATCATTTTTGACTCTGTTTGAATATTCCCCCTGTAGAGGGACACGCCCGACTTGCAACTTGGACGCTCGGGACGACCCGGGCACCCCTGGAACTCCGGGCGAGGCGAGCAGCTGCTGGAGAGCACCCCGAGGAGAAACACCGCCGGGAACCGAGGAAAACCCAGACAGCCGGCGCTGCGATTTTTCCCATGGGTGGCCGCCCGCCAAAGGTCTGGGCCACTTCCCGAGGGCCAGTGTTTCATCCCGAGGTGTTCTTTGACGGTCCTGGGGCCCGTGGAGGGCCCGCGGATGCCGAGCATTGCCAAATACAGTCTTGGGGCCCGCGGAAGCCGAAATTGGCCAGAACGTCCGAAAATCTGAGCATCGTTACTTCGAGTGGGAGATCGACTGCAGAATTGATTTACCCAAGACGTGGATTTCTCGCCGAACAGAAGGAGAGTACGCGTATAATGTCCGTAGATCTGCGAACATTCTGCGCACTCGTCTCGCAGGCTCGAAGAGGCAACTACGTTCGGGGCAAATCAGCTCTGCAGTCGATGTCCTACTCGCAGCACGTCCGAACATTGGAGCATCGTCACCGACGTTCGCAGCGGCCCCCGCTCGCAGCAGTCCCCGCTCCCAGGGGGCCCCTCGGCGCCTGCGGGGAGGGCCGGCGGACCTCGATCGCGGCGGCTGCCAGCAGCTGCAGCACGGCGATGAGGCGGGCCCTGGCAGCAACCGCGGCCAGCGCCATTCTATCGGGCGACGAGAAATCTACACGCGCCCACTGCTCCCCACTGAGATCCTGGCGACTCCACTTTTTCAAGCCGGGCGGTTTCGCTCCACTTCGGGCCCGGGACCCTCACAGATCGATCCGGCTCGACAAGAGGCGCAGGAAGATGGGGTCTGGGGGTCCGGTCGTGGCTTGTTTTGTGGTGCTGAGTTCTGTCCTGCAGCGTCGCATCTCGGGGCCTGGTCAGGCCCGTCCTGATCCCAGCAGCGGCGTAGACGCCACGCCCTCCTGGTTTGGCCCGGAGGGCGTATTATACACAGCTCCTGTGCCCAGGGGGGGCCCGGCCGGGGGGCAGTGGATGTGTAGAGATGTTTCGTCGCTCGGCTGTCAGGAGGGTGGGTTCAGTAAGGGAAGCTCGAACAAGAGAAACTGTATGGACACAAACTTTCGGAGCTCCGCGCGGACTTCTTGGATCGTCGCTGGGCCCTCTTGGCGTGCACCGCGCGCCAGGGAAGGGGGCCCAAAGCCGATACAAGAAATCCGCGCCGAGCACCGGAAGTTTGATGTTCACGTCGTGTCTCTTCTTCCAGGAGTGAGGTCACAAGTATGGACGCCGTGTCAGAACTCGAGCAGAATTCTGCGCATGTTGCTCGCTGGGGCATCCTAGCTGCACTCGCTGAGCACCCCCTCACAACGGGCCCTTCAGAGGACAAGAGGACGACGACGGCGCCGACGACGATGGGGAGGACGACGAGGAGCAGCAGGATGAGGAGCAACCAAAAAATGATGGTGCGTGTGTGTGTTTGTGCGTGTGTGTGTGTGTGTGTCTGTGTGTGTGTGTGTCTGTGTATGTCCGTGTGTGTGCGTGTGTCCGTGTGTGTGTGTGTGCGTGTGTGTGTGTGTGCGTGTGTGTGTGTGTCGGTGCGTGTGTGTGTGTGTGCGTGTGTGTGTGTCTCTGTGTGTGCGTGTGCGTTTCTGTGTGTGTGTATGTGCGTGTGCGTGTCGGTCGGTCGATCGCGCCGGCACGAACAAGATCACAAAAGAAAAATGTAATGTCCCACAATCCCACGTAAGTGGCCTCCTCTCTTTCGCGAACCTCCTCCTCCTCCTCCTTCCCCTCCTCCTCCTCCTCCTCCTCCTCCTCCTCCTCCTCCTCCTCCTCCTCCTCCTCCTCCTCTGCAGCAGCCGTTCTGTCGCCAGCGCTGCCATCACAGATCCTGCCAAGCCCCTGGGCGTACAGGGGGGTGCAGCGGATCGGCTATGCCAGAGACCGCTCCTCCCCTCCAGGGAATACGTACGGCCCTTCCCCCTGCCCCCATCCCCGGTCGCCTGGCTGAAGGGGGAGCACGAGGAATCAGAGCGTCCAACACGGCCTGCGGCTGGTTCGTGTCGCGTCGACCCCGTCGTTGGTCCCTCGCACAGCGGGGATCGTTCGACCGTGAACGATCGGCCGTTTCGGAAACGTCTGATCGTTGAACATCGACCGATTCTGGGTCGCCAGCGGCGTTCAACGCTGAACGCTGGCGGCGGGGTCGCCGCCCGTCGATACGACACGAGCACCAGGTAGCAAAAGAGATGCCTCCCAGACCGAAGCAGACGGCCCAAGTTGGCCTCGGACGGCCTGCAGCATGCCTTTCGCAGGCGGGCGTCTGAGGCCTGAAGTGTTGCTGAAGATACAGCGGAGGCCTGTCCACAAGAAACCTTCCACAAGACACCCAACCCTGAGACCCCAGGACGTCCATGGATTTTTGGTGTGGGAGCGGCACGCTTTCCATAGCGAAACCATCGAGACCCAAGAAACCCGGGGCACCCTGGAGGCAAG